TGCTATACGGTATTTATAAATAATGTATAAATATTTATAAATCCCTTCCGATTTGTAGCCATGAGCATCATTTTGTAGATAAATGTATTTCTATTTATTTATATCGCACCTTTATTTTTTTTACAAATAATTCTAGGCAGCGAACATATCCAACACATCTTCCTCCTATTTTCCCCACAACAACCACCTGTGAGGTGAGTTGGGCTGAAAGAGAATGACTGGCCCAAAGTCACCCAGCTGGCTTTCATGGCTAAGGTGGGACTTGAACACACAGTCTCCTGCTTTCTAGCCGGGTCCTTAACCACTAACCAAACTGGCTCCCATAGTATGCGTGTAGTCTATAGTGCATAAACTATCAAACTGGTATCTAAACCTTGCTGACAAAGTACTCCTACATCATTCGTCATAGTGCAGGTCATGTGGATGACTGAGAATTTCCTCAGACGTTACCAAACTGATAATTTACTAGTCTTATGCATGATTAAAGAAGCTTCAGTTAGCAATATCTAAAGCCTTTCTAGATCAGACAGGAGAAAGAGAGCTTTCTACTCCTATAATCGCCAGTCAGAATCCCACAGTAACTAACTAGCTAGTCATGCTAGTAACTTCTAATTTGTGAATAAAATTTATATTTCTAGGAATTTTAAGCTTGTCAGTGGAAATTATAGTCAGAGCTAGTAGATTTTATAGCTATTTCCTGAATAAATTTGTCTGCTTTTTTAAAAAAAAGTCTTCTGAGCTGTTATCATTACAAACTGTGATATGAGAATTCGCAACGTCACGTGGCATGGCGTGATGTATCTCGACTTTTTTGCCATTGCTGGCAATGGGGTGGGCGTGGTTTTGCTATGATGGATCCAGCCCACGGGCCAGCAGTTTAACACCCCTGGTTTAAACTGTTAAAAAACACTTGGTTTTGTCTGCCCTTAATTCCCCACCATTGGATAAGTGTGAATTCTGATATTATGAAATAGGAAGAAAAAATTATTTCTGTTTTCTCCATCTTTATTGTCCTGTATTTTTTTTCTCTTTTTCCCAAACTTTTTGAATCCATTCTTAATTATGTACCATGGGACGTATCCTTTTTATGCTTGTACATGCACATCTGGCTACTTTCCATATATATATCACTAATAACTGAGATAATAAGTTCAAAATCACTTCCTTCTGCATTATTTATTTCACCTATTAACTCACATTGGATTTACCAAAATTGCAGTTTGGAAGCTGAGTAATATGCAAGCAGAGGAAATTATACGCATTTCCTTTACAGATCATTTTGTAATATGCATTCCTGCAATGACTTAGGCAAAAGATTTGCTCTTCAGAATTTCATATTCACTGTCTATACTCTATATCCAAACAAATTCAGCGACAGGGTGAAAAGTGTCACCCTAAATCATGTCAGCAATTTCCTGATAAGTCTAGCTTCCCTTACTATTGTTTTGTGTTTAATATATTATGCCTCATTTATGCTTGTAAAGTGAAGTGATATATTGTAAAATATCTGCCCAAATTAAGACTAGAAGTTTTGTAAATTGTTTTGCTCAATAAACATTCTTGCTTTCATTCTTATCCCATTGTTCTCTCAAGCTTGTTGTTATATGTCTGCTTGCTGTTGTTTTTAGTCTAATGCTAAAATCTCTCAATAGTTTGATTCTTGCAGGCCCATTTGAGACAAAATAGTCAAGCTGTTCTTTAATGAAAGCATTTTGACTCAGGTAGACAATGAACTGTCTTGGTATTTGATTACTATTTGCAGAACAATAATCAAGTTTAGATTTGTAGACCTGGTTTTCAAGCATTATACTATTGTAATTAATGTATTAATGCCAGGAGGCACCAGCCACAAATCCATCAAGCAACCACTAATGCATTTCGTGTAGTAGAAAGCAAGAAAAAGAATTATCGCCAGAGTTTCCTCAAAGTTTTTAGAATATCAGAAAAAGAGGAGGGTTCTGCCTTGCTAGAGAGAAAAAAAACATAACTATCTCCCAAGTTTTCTGTTATACAAGTAGAAAGAAAGAAAAAGAGCTGTATCTAAGTTGACAAAAGGATTTTGATTGGATTCTCACATTGCATTAAACCATAAAATATTTTGGCTTAACCTGATGAGTGAATCCATTCACCAGAAGCAGGATGATAGAATGGATATTTTGTAAAACACAATAAAGTATATTGGGGGTGGACCTAAGAATGATGTCTGTGACTTGAGTTTCTTTCCACCTTTATTTACAATTTGAGCTGTGACTTGTTCTAAGTTAGTTTTTCAGACTCCACTCTACTCTGCTGTTTTTAATCAGGTAAGAAATAGCAGGAAAGTAACAGGAAAACTCTTAGGAGCTTTACACATTGCATGAAACTATAATGGGTTATTGAAACTGGAATTCCAGCTACTGTGATATAATAATAATAATAATAATAATAATAATAATAATAATAATAATAATAATAATAATAATAATAATAATAATAATAATAATAATAATAATAATAAGTTGGAAGGGACCTTGGAGGTCATCAAGTCCAACCCCCTGCTCAGGCAGGTAACCCTGTTTCTGAACTATAGCTTGTATTTTACTATTTGTGATTGCCTATCGGAGTTTGTTCAACAAATTATAGTTAAAACCATGGCTTTTCATTTTAGAAGAATGATTTCCAGTTAAAATGTGTGTTTGCATGAGTTGTAGTGGTAAAGAATAGTGTTGGAATTGTACAATTTTTTTCCCCAGTTCTGGTTTGGAAAAATACGGTATAGCTGTTCACAATTTATATCCAATTTGTATCATATCTATAATCACAAACACATTTTTATTATAGGCTTGTATTCCAGATTATGTGTGTTTTTATATAGAATGACTGTTTACTAATTCTACCAACCTATGGAACTTGCTGATAAATATGACTAAGACCATAGTTTTATCATATTTATATGTGCGCCAGACTTTACTTAATGTATTTTAAAATATATGCAATTTGGCACAGGAATGAAAATCCTCTTTTAGATATATATTTGAATGTTATGATTCCATGTCTAGATTATAGACAGATTGCGGTTTCCTTTGATGACTTTGCTCGTAATTAAAGCTAAAATGTTTAATGAATTCATTACCATAGTATATGTAAATATGTAAGCTAAATTTGTCTTATTTGAATCAAAGAATGAGGACACCCAGGTACTAGTTATTCCGTCAGCCCTCAGTAATTTTAGACTAGGGGTCTTCAAACTTGGCCCTTTTATGACTTGTGGACTTCAACTCCCAGAATTCCTCAGCCAGGCACGCTGGCTGAGGAACTCTGGGAGTTGAAGTCCACAAGTCATAAAAGGGCCAAGTTTGAAGACCCATGTTTTAGACCAATCATTCTTTTTCAGCCTTGCCTACCTCACATTGTCATTGTGGGAAAAATAAGTAGGAACACTAGGTATCTTGGCTTAAGTTTCTGAATAAAAGGCAAGTTATAAATAAAAGCTATAAAATAAATAAATATTGAAGGGAAAATGGGAGTTACGTTGAGTAGATCAGCCGTGAGACAGAGTTGGGATGAACTCATGCTACCTCATGAAAAACATTTAAATATGAAATAATTTCCAAAGTTGGACAGTAGAACAAACATTCAGATGTATGTTTTACATATAAATAAAACAACAGAGGCATGGATGAGAATCACTAGCAAGACACTGCTCTGTGGCTTTACCTTTAGGTATGTTTATGAAGGGAACAGCAGAGAATTTTATTGGCTTCAAATTTATTGAATAGTATTGCTATTAATGTAAAAAATAAAGCCTTTCCTGAAATACTGTGGAGTCAATTATGCATCCTTTAAAATATACCGTTTGTTTGAGGGGGGTGTAAAGGGGGTGTAAAACTTTATACAGTAATGAATGGGTTAGTTTGTAAGCTGCCACAATATAGTTTTGGCTCATAACTATTCATCATATTTGAATATTCTGTTTTTCATCCTATGCAATAAATTCATGTTTTTTTTGTTTGAACATCAGATTTCAAACAGAACTAAAGGCTGTCTGGTAAATTGTTAAAGTAGCTGGGCAATTCAACCCATACTTCTATTTTCAAAATATTCTCTTTTATATAGTATGGACCTTTTTAAAGTTCTGACACAACTATTTTTTTCTCAAAGGACACTATATGCAAGATCAGTTGCAACTCTGGGAGGTTGGAAACAATATTTTCTCTGACCAGTGGAGAAACGGTATATAGAGGCTGATAGCATAGGGGAAACTTCTATTTCGTCTCATTTGGAAGAAAGCTTTTTTTTTTTTCCTGAAAACTTGTCAAGATATGTTTACTATGTGAAAACTGACCATCATTCTGTGTTTCACTTGAAAATAACAGGATTCAACTAAACACCCCCCCCAACCCCCAACCCTGAATTTAGACCTTCCATTCAGGATCGTACCCTTGGCCTTTAACTAGAGAAGGGAACGGCATGTTTTATTGGGTCGGATGACTTCAGCGTTTCCCCTTAGAAACCTATGTGTGTGTGTTAGTGCCTGTGTGTGTGTGTGTGTGTGTGTGTGTGTGTAAGTGTGGGTGTGTAAGCTTAACGTTTATCTCTTCAAGAGAACTCCCGGTTTCTGCATTCAAGGGAGGGAGTCGATTTTGCTGCCCGCTCCCTGCTCTAAGAAGCGCCCCTTCAGCAGAGAAGCCCGGCTTTCTGTGTCGGCTTCGCTTTGGAGGGCGGGCAGCGCCAGCTGCTCTAGAGCGAGGAGGAGGGGCGTGAGCAGGCCGATTTCTTTCCCTATCCTGTTCGGTGGCTGGAGTGGGGGAGTCTGCGTCCGTCCTCTTGGACTAGCTGCTATTGGCCGTAGTAAATGCCACTCGACGCTTCCTGCCTGCGCCGGGAGCTGAAAGAGAGGTTGCAGAAAGAGGAAGCGGTAAAGCTGAGCTGAGTCGAGAGGAGGGAGAGGTGCAGGGCGCGGTCCCTGTCATTGATCCGGGCAACTTCCCTCAATGTTCCCTCTCTTCCTTCCCTCTTAGGGCGGATTGGCCCTCGCTGTTTCCCTTGTCTATGCGAAAGACCGAGCCGGAGGTCGGGCAGAAAGGGCGGCGCGGACGAGAGGCAAAGCTAAACCGGGCGTTCCCGGAGGAGGCTTCAGGGAGAGAGCGCCTTTTCCTCTTCGTTGCCATCCAAGAGCGACCCCAGCATGGAAGCTGTCGCCAAATACGATTTCAAAGCCACCGCAGACGATGAGCTCAGTTTCAAACGGGGAGATATTCTGAAGGTAGGTGGTGCACAAAGAGGCCAAGATTGCCCTCTTCAGGCTTTCTCCGAAATGCTTGTCTTTAGAATCTCCGTCATATCGTTCCTACAGACCTTGTATCGCTCCCCGCCTCCCACACGTTGAATTTAGTCTTTGTTCATTGGGTGTACAAATTGCCTTTTGGTACTTTTTACTATTCGTGTAAAAAGGTTGAGTGCTAGAGCTGCACTAATGTTTTTTATTGCAACTTGCTGTGTGATACTGCAGGTTTGGGTAGTTGTCAGTTATTTCCTTCCCATTTTAAATGTCTGTTTCCTCCTCACTTTGGTAGTGTCAAAGCTGCTACTAAGCAAGAAAGAGTTCTTGCCAGTGAGTGCTTAAAACGGCAATTTTACTTTGTATGTATCAGTTCTGCTTAGGAATATTCTTCTGCTACCCTGTGTTATATTCTTCTGACAACATACTTTTTAAACTGTGGTTTCTTATTTGTACGTACATCTATCAACCGAAGGTAGTAACATTAATGCATCTTGGAAAGAAAGCTTTGTGTGTGGACTTCAACTCCCAGAATTCCTCAGCAAAGGTTGTTATAGTTAAGGATTCTGAGAATTGAAGGCCACATACTTGAAGTTGCCAAAGCTGGGAAACACTGCCACAGTTCATGAAAAGTAATAGTGTAATATACTACTGCTTGTTTTGCTTTCCTTATATTTTCCTTATATATTTCCTTAGAATTACTGAGGAAGGAAGGGATCTTGGAGGGCTTTATAAAAAAATGCTACTGTTTTTCTTTTGTTTCCTCTCAGAGAAAATCAGAATTAGCTTATAAGTTCAGTTAATATAGAAGTAAAGGAATACATTATTTAATGTATAAATTTCATGTTCAATTTGAAATCTTTATTTTGTTAAGCTAATAAAACAGCGTGATGGTAGTTGAGCATCAAAGTAAATTTAGAATATAGTATGGTTAACTTCTGGAATATAGTTCATAGTTTTTATAAGTATATAGAGTCTGGGAACAGTTTGTAGTTAACAAAATACAACTATATAATGCAGAAAGACAAAGTATTTTAATTTTAAAATATATCTCACAATTCTGGCTAAAGGCTACAAGGTAATAAAAATAAATAGATATAAAAAGTTAAATCGGGCCTGCTTAAGCTCTAGGGTGGGATATTTATAATGTCAAACTGTAAATGTGTTTGGTCCTCCTTCTTTGTACTAAGAAAAGATAAAACTCAGATGCTATATTTGGGGAGCAAAAGAAATGACTGGAGGGCTTAAATCAGATTAGCCTTATTTTTCCTGGGTTCATGTTAGATTGAATTGTATATATTAATGTTAATAGTTTAGCCACTAATATTTGGAACTTTGTTATTTTTTTCACCAATGACATATTAATATCTGATCCTGACATTAATAATGTGGTACATCTAATTCAGTGAAGTGGGGAAGGGAAACTAATATTCATAGATTCCTTCCAATATGGTTAACATTTAGTAAGGGGATCAAGTCACAGGGAAAAACCCTCCATTGTGCCTGAAAGAATGGTATTCCTTTCAAGTTCCTATTTAAAATTATCCTTGCCTTCAATGTTGGATATAGCAGCACAGTTGTTGAATCATTTTTAAAGAACATGCATTGAAGCCTTACTTCATCTCATATTGCATTGCTTCCTTGGTTTCATCCAACATTCAAAACCAAAAATAGGTGTCATATGATTTATAAAACTGGTATTGAAAATAATTAATTCTTCTGAATTAATTCAATTTCAGATTCTAGTTTAGCCCGGATCTAATCTCACAATGTATCTTGAGGATGGATTCAATTTAAAAACAACTTGGTTCAAATTATCCAATTTATAGTCAGATAACTGAATTAGCAAAGTTCTATATTCATTAGTACTTTAAAAGAGAAATATGTATTAGGTTTTGATGTGTTTCTGTATCACAATTGGAAAATATAACATTTGTTCATCAATACTAAGTGGAAGCACAATTGAAACCTAGATATTTTTATCTGACATGCAATCAAGTTTTTTCTTCTTTCATCAATTCTTGAGAAAGAAAAGGTTCTGAAATAAATATGAATGAATGGATTGAGGTGAAAATCAGTAAAATAGTGAAATCTTGTCTGAATTGGTTCCAAAGTTAGTTGTACTTCTATTGGAATTAATATTTGAGAATTTAATAACGTTGGCTGGGTCCAACACATTTATCATTATACTTCACAGTCCTTATTAGGTAATTAATTATAAATTAATGAAGCTTTTTGTTTCAGATTCAGGTCAGGATTTAGTTGTACTTTTCCCCCAACCGATTGTGTTTTTGCTTTTTTCTATTAACTAATGAAATATATCTATTAAGTATAGGAATTATGAAGGGAAGGCCATAGAAGTTAACAATTTGTTTGAATTTACAATCTTGCTAAATTATCCTTTCATTTCTTATATGGCCACACTGAAGAATATTGATGAATATATGCAGGTAATCCTCGTCTTACAACAGTTCATTTAGTGACCGAAATAACAACAGCACTGAAAAAAGTGACTTAAGACCATTTCTCACACTTATGACAGTTGCAGCATCCCTATAGTCACGTGATTTACATTTGGATGCTTGACTACTGGTTCATATTTATGATGGTCACATTGTCCCAGAGTCATGTGATCAGCTTTTGCAAACTTCTGGCAAGCAAAGTCAATGGGGAAGCCAGATTCACTTAACAACCGAGTTACTAATATAACAACTGCAGTGTTTCACTTAACAAATGTGGCAAGAAAAGTCGTAAAATGGGGCAAAACTCACTTAACAAATTTCTCAGTTAACAACATAAATTCTGGGCTCAATTGTGGTCGTAAGTCAAGGACTACCGTTATTAACTATATTCACATTATTTTAATTATAACGTGCCATTCTCAGTACGTCTTCAAAATGGTACTTTCAAAAAGAATAGGTTTGTATTGCTCGTCAACACTTGAATGATTAGAAATGTCCTTCTATATAGTCTTGGGGAAGAAAACAAAATGCATGTTCTTGGACAAATTTTCACTAAATCCTCTTTAAAAATGTTATTTGTAAGTATTGACATTGCAGGAAATGCATATATTCAGTTCTTGGCTATCACTTGAACTGCAACTGTTACTGCTTGTTCAGTAGTAACCTATGTTCCAAAAGCAAACAAACCTTTGATTCAAAATTGTGTAAATTTGTTCAGCTCTGTGTTTGTGTATGTGAGACTATAGTATGATAAGTTTTGCTTCTCACTTTGAAAATAGGGAAATTTGCCTATTCTCAATCAACTATCACAATATACTGCTATCTGGCAAGGAAAACAGATTTTTTTTTCATTTGCCTTACAAAATGTTAGAGACTATTTTTATATTGTTTAGATGATATGTTTTATACTTCTCCCAAGCAACATTAAACTAGGCATGTTGTTTTACATCATTTGTATTTATAAACAACGTCTGCCAACTAGGCAAATAGGTCAATACATAATAAAATCAAGAAAATAATTATACAGTATAATTTGAGAACAGCCTTAAAATGAGAGAGTAACAAAAGTCATATATTAAAAGCCAGAGAGTAGGAGCTCGGAACAAAACATCCTGTGTTTGTCTTATGTGGGAATTCGAAACTAGTAATTGTTCCTGTTTTTGTCCTAAGGCTACAAAATATATAACCAGCATTTTAAATTAAACAAAGGAACCGATGATCAATATTGTAAGAATAATGAAATGTACTTTTGATTTAAAAGAAGGTGGGCTGCAACCATTTTGTCTCATCTAAAGGCTCAATTATGTTCTGGATCATTTTCAAGGCCCTAAAATGTACGGAATGTGGGTTGTGGTTCACAACCTCTGTAGGATTGCATTTAATCCCCAACCTGTCTGCCTTTAGAAGAGAAGGCAAGATACATGTCAGATGGACATGCTCCTAGTTCCTTCCCTTAAATATTGCCACCTTATGGGAGCTAGAAAGCATGTGTTTTCCATGGTAGCCCCTGCCCTATGGAACACCATTGCTTCTGAAGTTGGGCAGCCTTCTACCCTCCTAAGCCTTCAAAAAAGCAGCGAAGGCTTGGCTTTTCCCCTAAGCTCTGAGGTAGGAGGAGGTGACTATGTGTTGGAAACGCAACTCGGTGCTAGGTTTTTTGTTTTTAATGTTTGTGGTTTTAGTAGTTTTAATATGGTTTTTATGTTTTTGTTAGTGATATTTTAATTCTTGATTGATAGCTGCCCAAGGTTTGATATAAAACGGGCAGCTATATAAATGTTTCAAATAATAAATATATTTTTGCAAGATTCTTAATGTTAGTATTTTAACTTTGTAATGTTTCATTCTGTGATCTGTAGATGTTAACCTCTCTTCAGTATTCTTTTGAGTAGAAAGCAGGATGTCAACTGAATTAAAAATAATTTAAAATTTTTGACACATTCCTATTATGCATAAAGAGTTCTGAGTTCCTAAGAAATGGTGAAACCTCCAAATTAGATATAAAACATGTTTATGACGATTGTTAGCACTTGTATCTGCAGATATAATGTTCAGTGCAGGAATTGAAAATTAGAAATATACTGCTTTAGTATTTGCAGATGACTACAGTACATCCATTCTAAAATGTGAAGTTCATTTCTTGTGCATCTTGGATATTGTTGTATTTTAGAATTGAAAATAGTAGAATGCATATTCAGGTGTTCATTGGGTTAATTTTTAACCATGTTGTCTGATTATTTTGTAACTTGAATTATTTTGTAACTTTCATGATGCATTTAGGCTTCTTTGGTAATACTTTGGCTTCTGTAGGCTGCCAACTGAAAAGGCCAATAGGCTACCCGGTATTATTGCTTAAAATCTAATGTGCTTCTGGCAAATAAATTCTTAACTCTGTTGGGATCTCTGCCAGCTGGCAACTGTTCAGATATAAAGTGCATCAATGCTGCTTATGATTTGGCACATGATGGAGAAAGGATAGATGTCCACATTTACCCTGGTTGATAATGAAATGAAGTCCATCCT